ACCATGATCTATGCCTTCATGTTCCCATGTGTTCTCCCTGTGTGTGTCTATTTCTGTATCCAAATTTCCCCTTTTTATAAAGACACCAGTCACATTGGATTAGGGTCCACCTCCTGACCCCGTTTTAATTTGATCACCTCTGTAAAGACCCTATTTCCAAGTAAGTTTACATTATGAGGCACAGGGAGTTAGACTTCAACATCTTTGGGGGGACACAATTCAACCCATAACAAGCATGAACCAAAGGGGAAATCGTGATTTTTCTCTATAGATGCCAAGAAAGGCTTTAACAAAATTCAACACTGATTCATGATAAAAATACTCAATGAAATAGGAAATGAGGGGTGGGTATGTACTTAACAAGATAAAATGTAGTCCTAAAGCCAGCATCTTACTTAATCAGGAAACAATGGAAGCATTTCCACTATGATCAGGAACACGGCAAGAATAGCCACTACCTACACTATGATTCCATGTTGTACTAGAGGAATTAGCCAATGCAATTAGACAAAGTAAATCAATTTATGGCCTAAGACTGGATAAAGAAGGAAAGAAGGAAAAAACTATATCTCCTTGCAGATAATATAATGTTATACCTGAAAACCCCCTAGAGAACCAGTGATAAAACTAATTTAAATATTAAGAGTTTAGTGAAGTAGCAGGATACAAAATTAAAATACAAACTCCAATGGCCTTTATATATACCAACAATAAACAGAGGTCATAAGGGTAGAGAAAGCACTTCATAATAATAACAATAAAAAGATTCAGTGCTTAGGAACAAATTTAAGGAGAAATACATAAATTCTATATGAGGAAAAATTTTGAAACATTCTTGAAAGACACTAATGAAGAACAAATACGAAGACCTCCCTGTTCTTGGACAGAATGAGTCAACATTATAAAGATGTCAGTTCTCCCTAAATTAATTTGTAAATTCAATGCAATCCCAATAAAAATGCCAGCAAGCTGTTTCATGAAGATAGATGAGTTGCAAAGTCTGTATGGAAAGATAAACATGCAAGAATAGGAGGGAAAACACTTGGAAAGAAAAGCCATGAGGTGGAAACAGCTTTAGCAGACATTAAAACATAAAGGCTTCTGTAATTGAAAATAGTTGGCACTGGTGCATGAATAGACAAGTTGCAGTAAACTAGGAATTTAGCAATAGACCCAAAGACACCTTTACCCAAGTGATTTGAGATATGCCCCTTTGACACATACTAAAAATGCGCTTGTTATAAATGGTACTGGGACAACTGGGTAGCCATTTGGAAAAAGATAAAATTAGATCTATATGTCACACCCAGCAAAAGAATAAGCTACATGGACCAGGGTTCTAAATGTAAAAACTAAAACCACACAAAGACCAGAAGAAAACACGGGTGACTTCCTCTTTAACTTCGATGTTGGGAAAGGCTTTCTAACTATGCTTCAAAACCCAGAGGGCATAAAAGACCAATAAATTTAACTACATGAAAATTTTAAAAAAACTTTGCATGACACAAAACACCATAAACAAAGTTTGTCAGAAAACTGAAAAACTGGAAGAAAATATTCATAACATAATATCACAAAAGGCAAATATCCCTAATATATAAGTAACTCTTAAAAATTGAGAACAAAACCTAAAAATCCAATAGTAAAATGAGGTGGCAAGGCATGAACAGACAATTCACCAGAAAAGATATAAAAGTGACCCTCAAACATATGGGGGAAAGATGCTCAAGGACACTCCAAATTAGAGAAAGGCAAATGACAACAACACTGAGATGGATACTGCTTCTCACCTAATCAGACTCACAAAAAAATAAAAATATCAACACCTTCTGCTGGCAAGGTTGTGGGAGAACAGGCACTCGAATATGTTGCTGATGGGAATGCAAATTGGTGTAATCCTCTGGAGGAAAATTTGGTAATACCCAGTAAAATTAAATACATGCTCACCCTTTAACCCAGGAATTCCACTTCTAGGAATTTATCCTGAAGATAGACCTCCAAAAATGTGAAAATACATATGTAAAAGGTTTTTCACTAAAGGGTTATTTTTAATTGCACAATGTTGGGAACAACATACCCAAACATGGAGAGTGCTGGATAAACTATAGCATAGCCTATCCAGACAAAGGAGCACTATGCAGCTGTAAAAAAAAAATCTCTGAATTTAGATGGCATGAATTCCAGCATGCACTATTTAGCAAAAAAAGGCAAAAGCCAAGAGTATCTGTATGGTGTGCTCCTCTTCATGTGAAGGAGAAGAGACTATGGGGACATACACAGGTGTCTCATTTATGCAAAGGAAATGCAGGAGGGACAGATGAGAAAGTGAAGAGATTGGTTCCCATTAAGGGCAGGTGGAAACGGGTGGAAAGATGTGGGAACGGGGCTGGGAGAGCAAGGAGGAGGGAGTGGTACTTCTCTGACTGTATCTTTAAATTTTTATTATCGAGATATAATTCACATACCACAAAAATCATCCTTTTAAAATGTAAGATTCAGTGGATTTAAGTCTATTCACAAAGTTGTACAATCACCACCACTTATTCCAGAACATTGTCATCATCCCAACAAGAAATCCTATCCCCATCAGCAGTCACTCCCCATTTACCCTTCCCCCGACTCCTGACAATCACTAACCTGCTGTCTCTGTGTATGTGCCTATTCTGAACATTCCCTGTAAACAGAATCTGGCTTCTTTCACTTAGCATAACTGTTTTCACGGTTCATGGACGTCATAGCATGTATCAGAACCTCATTTCTTTTTGTGGCTGGGTAATATTTCACTGTGTATATTTACCACATTTTGCTTATCCATTTAGCCTTTGGGATTTTTCCACTTTGGGGCCAGTATGGACAATACTTCTATGAACATCCATATACGCATTTTTGTGGGACATAGGTTTTCAATTCTCTTGGGTAAATACCTAGGAATGGAGTAAGGCAATGAGATGGTTTTTGAGGAACTGCCAGGCAGTTTCCCAAAGAGCCCAGAGCACCACCATGAGAACCTCAATCCTCCCCACCAAGCCCTGCCAGTTGTGGGTCCTGGAGATCCTCTTCGTGGAAAAATGTTGCCCAGGACCTCAGCAGGTGAATGGAACTTTAGTGGATCTGGTGCCCAGAGCCCCCTGCCTGGGTCAGGGGGCAGCTGGATCCAATGGTTCCTGGATTCTCCAGTGTCCTGCCCAGGCCAGCACCAGTAGGCGGCGGGGGGGAGTAGCATGGGTGCAAGGAATACCCTGGGTGCTTCCTGGACCATCTGAGATCCAGAGGGCCTGCTGCCCATGGCCCTCCCTCAGGCAGAGTCCACATGCCCACCCACCCCCGCTGAGGGGATCTGGCTCTGTCATGGGCTCCCAGCTCAGCACTGAGGAGGTGGGGTGGAGGTGGGGAATTGGGGGAAATACTGCCAAATGGGGTGCCCAGAGGGTCCCGGCTGGGCCTTAAAAGACTTTTAGGTCCAGAGGGCAGCCTGGGAGAGGTGGATTTGGTGTTCCCTCAGGCACCTGGGGGCAGGGGCTTATTTGGCTAAGAAGCTTTGGATTTAGTGGAAGGTTTCAGGTACTCCTGCCCCTGGGAGGGCCCTGAGGGGTGAGAGGGAGCACGTGCCCCACTGTGGCAGGCCCCTTGGACACCCACTTGAGCCGCGGTTGCGTGGGGGCTGTGTCAGGAGTCTCAGGCCACACAGGCAGCTGTCTTCCATCTCTGAGAGTTTGGGGAGCTCCCTTCTTCCCACTTCTGTGCAGAGGCCAGTACTGCTCATGCAGGGGTGGGGTGGGGAGCTTTGGAAGACATCAGCCTGGGTCCAGCAGTGAGGCAGAGGCTCTGGCCTGCAGCCCACACGCAGCTGCTACGGAGGGGATGAGGGGAGGGGCAGGAGGAACAGGGAGCCCCACTGACACCTGGTGTAGAACATTCTGAAAGACACTCAGGGCCTCCTGTCCTCCGCCACACACTGGGGAGCTGTGGGGATGAGTGGAGGTAGGGTCCCAGGCAGTTGCGGTGTGGTGTGGGGGACCCCTGTCCCCCCAGGTGCTGCCACAGGCTGCCAGGACACGTGCGGGCTGTCTTGCGGACTGTCTGTGCCCAGTCACCCCACCCGAAAGGCCAGGCCGGAGCTGGCCTTCCTATCTGCCCTGACAAGCACTTCCCTCCCCTCTCATTCGCCCTCCCTCAGCTTCCAAGCCCTGCACACTCCACCTCCCCTGACTTCTGCCCCCCTCCCAGGTCTGGCACATTCCTTGCTCCCCTACTCATCACCTCCTCACTCTCCCCAGGGCCCCTTCTGCCCCTGAGCTCCCGTCTCCCTCAGCCAAATGAACTTTCTAGAATACAAATCTAATTTGTGATTGATTGCTCCAAACTCTTGAGAGCAAGAGTAAAGGAAAAAAAAAGATGACATTTTAAAAACTGATGTCATTTCTGTGTTCTTGGGAGTATGAGAACAAACCTTCTGGAAAGACTGCTCTTCTGCTGTGAAAAATAGATTAATGGGCCTGTTTACTCAAAGGCCAGGCAGAGTCTAGGCTGGAGGGGAGAAGAGGGTCATGGCCAGGACAGAACAATTCTGTGAAAGACTGTCCCAGGGTGGAGGAGGCCAGCTCTAAAAACTGTTACAACATTGACTTAAGGCTAAGAGACTGGCCGTTTCCCGGACGCCAGCCGAGCCGCAGGTGGTTCTGCTCTCCGGGAGGGGGAGGGGCGGAGTCCTCACTCTGGGCAGCGACGGGCTCCACTCAGGGGCCACCGACAGGCAAACACGGTAGTTAGCATTCAAACCCCAGACTGTCCCCTCCGCAGGGCTGCATTCTGAGCTGAGCCCTCACTGCCACACACCTGCTGTGCGATGCCAGAGCCACGGCTCCCCTCCCGGCCCACTTTCCTGTCCACTCAGGGACCTTCTGGCTCAAACTTCCTGTCTCCCCACAATCTTTATCTGCTCTTTTCTTCTGGGTTTGAGGGTGGGGCTTGGGGTGGGGGAAACTGGGATGGGGCCTTACCTTTGAGCTCCACCTTCACCTCCTGACTCAAATGGTTTCGGCCTCCAGCTCTCAAGTGCTGCTGAGTCGGGTGGCACTGAGCAGGTTTCCTCTACTGAAGACACATGTTATAGCTGTGTGTGTGCGCATGCTTGCACACAGCCTAATTGCCACCTGCCTCCTCTCTGGAGCCCAGAGGCCTGGCCTCCGGCCTAATGCAGCTGCAGCCTTTGGCTCCGGGTGTGGTGAAGTTCAGGCACGGTGCCTGGGGCCGTGGTCAAGGCCCAGGAATGGCAGGCAGGAGGCCATGGCCCAGCAGACTTGGTGACTTTGGGCAGGTCATTCACTTATCTGGGCCTCAGTCTCCACATGTGCCCAATAAGGATGGTAGTAATCCGTGTTCCCAGGATGGGGTGAGGATCCAAGAAAGTCAGGGGCTTGGAGGTGCTTTACAATACTATATCTCTATACATTAATTTAGATGTTTAAAAGACATCTTAAATTTTTAAAAAAATTTTCTTATATCACTTTCAGATTCAGTCCTGGGTACATTTTTACTTCTGTTATAAATGGTACTTTTACAAAGTGACTTTTCCCGATTGCTTGTTACTAGTGTATAGAAGTTAAATTGATTTTTGTACACTGATTTTGTACTAGAAGACTTGGTACATTTTAAAATTAAGTAATTAACTGTAGGATTTGGGTGTGGTGTTGATGTTTTTCTAAGCAGGCTAATGGTTCTCAATGAGGTGTACTGCCCACTAGGGGTAGATTTGAAGGAAGTTTTTTGCTGTGCTTGAGAATTTACACATCACAATTCATATTATTTTATTTTAAAGTATTTTTCTTTTATTAATCTTTTATACTACAATTAAAGAATTATATTGGCTTTTTTGGAAAATAAATGTGTGGAGAGATTATATTCCCTAAGAATTTCATTTCAGGATAGGGCATATAGCATTAATTTTATGGGGAAATTAGATCTGATAGGATTGTAAGCCTGTGAGGTTTTGATAATTTACTTTTTTCAAGTCATTATAATTTTGAATCTTTATCTTGCCTTGCTGTTTCTTGACCTTGGAAAATGTTGAACAGCTGTGATGATGGGCACATCTAGCTTTTCCTGAATCTTAAAGGAAATGCTTTCAAATGCTTTCACCTTTAACTGAGATTTTCTTTAAAATCACGAATGGATGTTGAATTTTATCAAACATTTTTTTCTCCCATATGAGATACTTATATTTCTCTTGATATGATGTGCTACGTTGACGAATATTCCTTTTTTATCCATATATTCTGATTCCTTTTCTAATGCTAAGCCCACCTCGAATTTCTGGGATAAACCCACATAGGTGCTGGGACATTATCCTTTTTACGTATTGCCACATTGTGTCAGCTAGCATTTCATGTAGGAGTTTGCATCTGTGTTTGTTAGTGAGACAGGATCATCATTTTCTTTTTTTTTCTTTTTTTTCTGATTAAAATACAATTTTTAATAACTTTTGGGGGGAAATAATATC